TGAGTTATCTCCCTTCATTGGCTGCAGGCATACAAAACAAAGCACATTGAGGCATTAATCAGATCAGATTCTTACATGTCTCCATCCAAAGGCAGTATTTTCATGTAAGCTCTGCATTGCTAAGCAACTGGTTAACGTTAAGATTATTGTAATCCACTTTTTAAAAAGGAACAAATCTTTTTGCAGAAACTAAAGGACCTCTAGCCTCTCACAAGCTAGACATGTTAACACTCTGTGGATTCTCAATAATGCAGGAATATAATATTTTGGACCTCGAATAATAGCTAGTTTGTTAATAGCTTGATTCACGAAGACAGAGAGAAGTACAGGTGCTTGCTATGCATGCACTTTTGTTTAGGGAAAAATAAAAAATTACAAAAATAAATCTTGCTCCTATCAAGCTTTCTGTATCAGAAATATAACCCATTAAAAGTAACCTAAAATTAAATGATACTTCAATAAATATAAGCTAAAAAAGGAGGGTTGCAGGAATCCATTTTGAATTTGGTTCACTATGTAAAAAGTGGAATTTTTTTAAAAAGTGGATTGATTAACCTATGGCTTTAAAAAGCAATTCAGATTGGGAACTGGTGATTCTAACTAGCCTTTCTTAGTTAGAACCAGAGGGCATTTGTGCAAAGGAAGGAAGGAATGAGCAAGAATATAAAGGATCTGAAGTGACTGAAATTTGCAGAAATGTTGGACAGTATATTCCTCACACAAGCTGACAATTCAAGAGTTTGAGGGGAAAAGTACTGGTAACTTAAACCTCCCTAACATGTTCCTTTCCTGCAACAAACCTGATGGAAATTTAGTTGTATCCAGTTTTTCTGATATAAGTTATAAGCACTGAAGTTCATAAACCCATTTCCGGGAAGTAAACCCCCTGCTCGTTTGGAGGCTTATTTATGAGGTGCAGTTTTGGGTTAAAATTTGTATCTCCATTATGTAAGGGGTTTGTGTACTTTGAAAAGGAAATGTTTCACATCTCCTGCCAGTGCCATTTTTTTTGCTATTGCTGGAAGTAGTCTGACCTTTTCAGCTTCTTGTTTACACCTGAAAAAAAGGTGTTGTAGCTTCAAAAAATCACTCATGAAAGTTAATGTGACTTTTAAAGCCACAGTATTGAACAGCAAAAAAGTCTTGCTTTGTGGCACTTTTTAATTATTTCTGCCCTTGTTAGGTTGATTCTAAGCCTTATAAACAGCACTCTATTGAGGTTATGACAATGTAGCAAGTAAAAATGCAATAGTAGTAATCCAAGGTAGTCATGGGACTAGGAAAAAAAATTAAATTGTAGTCTTACAATGGGATCATGTGACTCAGTCAACAACTCTGTTCCACAATTTTGGATATAGATTTCATAATACAGAAAATGTACCATTGGTATATTGCAGCATTTCTCAGCCTTGGCAAGTTTATGACAGGTGGACTTCAACACCCAGAATTTCGCAGCTAGCAAGCATGGGAATTGAAGTCCACCCATTGTAAACTTGCCAAGGTTGACAAACTGATCTATTGCTTATCCAGGCATGGAAGCCTCCAATGTGTGATTTTATATTGAACCGATTCCTGACTTTACGTGGTCTGCAGTCAGAGGATGGTACAAGGCCTGTACAAACTTCAACTCATCTACCATTACCAGAGCCCCTTTCTTTCTGATGCTTCATTCTGGTTCAGTTTTGTCTCGCAGAAGAGACGTAATTAAAATAGAACGTATGCCTTGAAACAGGAGTTCATTTGGTGTGATAATGTGGTAACTGATCATCTACTTTCTATAGAGTAGGTATTATCCAAAGCAGAGCACAGATGCAGAGCATTAAGGCAGCCTATACCTGTTAAAGCAAAAAGAATGAAAAATCCAGCACTGTCTGCAAGCTATTATTTGCATAGCACGGAGAATAATGTGGTACTGTCTGACATCCTGACACTCCACTCCCCTTATTATAAGATCATCTTTGTGCATTACATCCCTTGTCATCTTTAAAAGCCTATAATTACTGAAGTCACGGCAGAAACTATATTATTTAAAATTAAACACTGATGCAAATCAACAGGGATAAAGATCATTCTGTACAAGAAAATACTACTTTCAGGAAGAAAACATCTGTACAATATTTAAATATTGTATATACATCAAATAATTTTTGTTCATAGCTCATTCCAATGGAGTTGCTTATTTGAAAGCTACAGAAAGGCATTCACTCACTCATGGGAAGGGGGGCTTTTAAAAACACAGCAGTCAGGATGAAAGAAGAAATGCTAGCATGCATACTTTATAATTATTCCAGGAGAATAATTACTGGAGGAATAAGTTAGATGCTGTAATTAAAATGACCCAATCTATTCCTCTGATAGTAAATCAAAGCTTATTCTCTTCTATCAGGAAATATTATTTATAGGATATAATGCAAAGGGACCTTTAAATTCTTCCCAGAAAATCAAAATGTTTGCATGATGCAAAGTTGGTCCCTAAATTATGTAAGTGCTTAATAAGGAATCTTGAGATTTTAAGGGGGGGGGAGAAGGAAAATGATTCTATGGCTTTTCACTCATGCATAGCTAATAGGGAAAAAGATCCAGCTAAACAATTAGCTTTCAGGCATCTTGAAAGCATAATGGATTTCGGTGGATGACAATGTTTTGTCAGTGTTGTGAAAAAAAAGTGTCAGCTAGCTGACAAAACAGACCTTCTGCTGTCATGAATTTGGCCTCAAATCCAACATGTTGGAATTAGCTACCTATCAAGGCCTGAACTGTAATGCTCAACTGGAGGCAATCTTCGTATTTGCAAGTTGTTAGCCTGGAAAGACACACTAGGCTGGCAGTGTATTTTCATCAAATCATCTGTAGTCGTATCACAGGAGATTTGTCCATGGCATAGACAGCTTTAGACAGACTAAGCAGAGGCAGCCCCCTGTTGCTAGGGATCTTCCACAATATAGTGCTTTCAGGATGTTTTGACATTGTAACTTCCAGATTTCCTATACAACATGGCTGCTGGTTATACATCTTATCTAGGAATTCTGGGATTTACAGGTCAACATTACTGGATGACATCAGTTTGGACAAGATGGCACTAGAGTTTTAGTCAGTTTCTATGTGAGACTGATGTTTCATTCTCCCTTCTTGGATAATAAGTTTGTCAGTTAAAGCTTCACTCACGTTGAATGTAAAGTATTGTTGTGTACCTTGGAAGCCATTTAAGTGATCTAAGAAATAATGTCTGTACTCCCTCTTCTGGTCAGAAATAACATTGCTCAACTACTTTTTTTCTTTTTCCTCTGCTGAGAAGCTACTCTTCCTAAATCAGGCTATTGGTCACAGAATAGAAGAAGCTCACAAGGAGCTAAACTGAAGACAGCACATTCTGTTCAAGGAATATTCAGCTTTTTCAATATCAGTTTATGCAGTTACTCCAAAGGGAAGATTAGGGAGGGCTGTTATTTTGCAGAGAATGGTAAACAACGTAACACCATACACCAGGGGTCCCCAACCTCTGGTCCGTGGACCGGTACCAGGCCACGGCATGCCAGCAACCAGTCCGCACAAACAACCAGTCCATGGGATGCAGGCAACAAACACACAAAATCACGCACTCTCCGGTCTGTGGAAAACCCTTTCTCCACAGAACCGGTCTCTGGTGCCCAAAAGGTTGGGGACCTCTGCCGTACATAGTTGTAAATTTAATAGGGTTTTTTCCTTAATGAAATGTTGAGTAACTTTTGTGGAGTTATATGAATTATTTTATCAAGTTGGTCCCAGGAAAATGTTATCGCTTGTATGAGATACCATTCCCTAGGATCAACACAGGAAGTTCTCCCTTTGTTTGGCATGGCTGAGAAAGGCAATGAAAATGGATTCTTTCATTCTACAACCTGAGGATAGAGATGATCTCTGGTTAACTATTGCTACCACACCTCTTGTTTGTTTTGTACAAGAACTGGCTGAAGAGAGGTATAGATAAATAAAGCCAGAGGTTGGCCAACAGTAAAATGGGAAGTAGGGACACTTTCTCATTTACAGAATTGGTTTAATCTTTGGAAAGCATTCCTATTCAATATTGAAAAAGGGAGAAATGCAAACATCAGTGCTGCAAAATTAAAGTTGGTGTTAAGTAATTGGATAGAGCATTATAAAGGAGTGCTTTTAAAACTATAAATGGCAAATTATTCAGGTGCAATGCTACTTCTCTCCACAGGGAGGAGGAATTCCTTTCCTAAAATAATGTTCTAATGTGTGTTGGCATTATCTAGAAATTAAATAAAGTATACTTCTTGCTTCAGCACTTCCAGCAAATGTTACTATTGGATCAATTTCTTTAATAAGATTGCAGCTCTAACAGGTTTACTAACTTAAAACTTCATTGAACAGAAGCAAACCCCCACCAAACCAACACGTCATTTGATCCTATAAAGAAATAGTTTCATGCTACAAAGACCCAATTTCTAAACCTGGTTTGCAGCAGCTGTTCATTTGTATTTTTACATGCTTAAATTCCAGTATTCCTACTTCATCAAATAAATAAGAGAGGTTGGCTTTTAAAATTGCTGAAGACTTAACATATTTCTACTGTGAAACTGATAGCCACAAATCGTGATTATAAATTTCACTTTTAGTGCGCCAAAAAAAAGTAGATTAGTTGGTACCCTAAATGTAGAAGTAACAGGTTTGATTATTAGGCCCTAAAATTCAGAGCATATGAAAGACATCAAGTACAGCGATATGTCTCCCAAATAAATAGAGCAGTAATATTTCAGTGCTTAATTTTCATTACATATTTTGGCTGTTCAAATATGTTGTTTACTGGGTAGCACCTGGTAACTCCTTGTTCAGATTTTCAATTGGTAATTTCAAGAGCAAAGAATAATAATTAAAAATCCTGATGCTTTTCTTCTTCTATGCTTTATCTTTCTAGCCTAAATTCAGGATGTTTTTGGCAGCCAGTGAACAAAACATTGAAACAATAGGTGGTGGGGGCCATGGAAAAGAAAAAGAAATCAGTAGTTTAAGAAATCAATACCAGCTTTTACACTTTTAGAAGTGGCAACATCAATTGCCATGGCTTTAATCTCAGTGTCTCCAAACTGCATTAGCGTTTTAATTTCCCTCCGGCCTGGCACGGATTTGTCAGTTCCAGTGAGATCCAAGCGGAGTGTGCCACACTTCCTCACTCCAGCTTCAGTGATGAAATTCACATTATCGTGTTCCGAGCTGTAGATGTTGATCACAATGACCAGCTGAGAAGGCTTGGCAGGGGTATAGCTGCGGGACACGGTCTCACCAAGTGCCACCGATTGGTCAGCCGAGATAAATTTGTCGAAGACATCAGTGCACCAACGGGTGCCATCTTTAACTAGCAGCTTTTCAGTAGGGTGCTTCCCTTCTACGTAGCGATTCAGGACCCCCACCCCATAGGTCAAGGGGGACCGGCGCACTTTAATGACAGCAGGATCCAGACCAAAAAGGACGGCTCCTTTGAGGATTGTGAGCCCCACATCTTGAGGAATGATGATTCGGCATTTTGAACCAAAAGCATTCTGGACAGCTTGTTGTAGTAGTGGGGCTTCTGCAAATCCACCCACAAGGAACAGGAACTTTACATTTGTCAGTTCCGGTTTTTCAAAAATATCACCTGAGCAGAGAAAGAAATCGATGGGGTCAGAAAAATAAGCGCACCCAGTGAAAAAAGAATCTAGTCTCATGAGAATAAACTCATTATAAAAAGGCTAGGAACAAAGGTGTGCATGTGTGCCTATGGGGGAATATACAGATACTTCTGTTCATAACGGGAGATAGTGTAAGTAAATCAAAATGGGCAATGTTCTTCACATATAACTTGATAATCTCAACGATAATCCTACAAAAATGATAATCTTTAAACCCAAATATAATTATTTCTGTCATACTGAATTTGTATTTTTCAGGCTATATGTTCAGTGGAAATTACGATAAAAGACTTATACATTCAGACTCAGCAACTGCTAAAAAAAGTGCAACATGATAAACGTTTTGGAATAATATTTTTTGTGACGAGATGAGATGGTCTCTAAATTCTGAATGTTCTGACTCTTAATGACTATTTTAAAGCCTTATACACCCTTAATACCTACTGAGATGCTCTATAATTTGGTCAATTGTAGGTTTGAAGAGGGCATTCATTGCATCAGGACTCATTCTCAGCATTCCTTGAGAGGACCACTTCACAAAATCCACACTGAAAAAAAAAAGAAAGAAAGCAACTTTAAAAAAAAACTATGCTAGTTCTACGAAACATTCTTGGAGATAGTCATGAAGTCAAGGGAGGCAACATTGTACAGGTTAAGAATGCCTTGCAACTTTTTGTAGGGAATGAGGGAATGTGAAGAGATGGATCAATATTCCATTTGGGAAAAAGACTGAAAAAGATCCTACTGAGTATTCATAAGTCTACACGCAGAAGGTTAGTACAAGGATGTACACCAGCTCTGCCCCTTCAACTCCAGCCTCGCTGTTGTCCCACAGGAACAAAGATTTTAGGGTCAGAGGTCAAACAGTCAATCTCACTTGTGCAGTCCCATTTTCAGTTTAACACCAAGATGGAGAAGTCTTAAGGAAAGGTCAGCCCACATTCCTGTGTACACCTCTACAGTTACAACTTCCTAGAAGGGAAATATTGTTTAAAACTGGCGGGAAACTCTTGCCTATTCTGCAACTGAAATGTAACTTATTTTTTGTGCCTGACATCCCTTCTCCCTGCAAAGTAGTCAGGCAGAGCTCCTCATCTGAAGGAAGATCTTGATCTGATTGCCACTTGTTAACAAACGAAAAGTAATTCACAGCAAGGCCATGCTTCTAAAGATGACTACAGGCTTTGCACTAGCCAAACACATCTGTTTGCACAAGGAAGGGCACTCACTTTCTCAAGAGCTGCTTTTGAGTTGGTGAGCCTTTTGGATCAGAACAGCATGATGACAATGAGGCCTAGCCAGCTAGTGAAATTCAAGTGTCATCTTTTGTGTGAACAGAAATGTTTCTGTAGCAGAGAGCTGGATTTTTCACCCTCCTGTCAGAAGAGGCATTTGGTGCTTTTTAAAAATTCTAAAGATATGCCGTTGACTTTTACATAGTTACTACACCATCCTTTCTATCGTTTATTAATGGGACATTATTCCAAACAGCAGGGGGGAAAAACCCCACATCCTTCTTACACGACTTTAAGATTGTTTACATTAGCAGATGCTATGATAAACAGTTTACATCCTCATGATAAATGGAGCAATTTCACAAAATGCAATTTTAAGGAAGGGGCAGAAAAAGCTGTGGTTTTCTTTTTTGTAATGGACTAGTTAAGGAGGGAGGTTTGGGTTTGGCAATTTTACAATCTTAATGCTGGAAAGGGAGGGAGGGGGACTTTGTATATGCTAGTGTTCCTTAACATATTGTCAGCAATTTTGTCCAGATGTACTTGAATTAATTATTCATATTTCATGCAACTAAACACAAGAAACTTTCTGGATTTTTCTATGATGAATATTATGCACTTCTATCCCCCCCCCCCCCAAAAAAAAACAAGGGATCAGTGATTCCATATGATTTTTTACCAGAAAAAACAGCCACAGAACGGTGTGACTAATTTCTGACTTACTTGCTTTTCCTTAAGGCATGTTCTACACTGTGGCCTCGAAACTTCTTGTAGTAGTCAATGAAAGAAAAAGGCAGGGTGATGTTCAGTGGATTGGTCCGATCAGGAGCTGCTGCTCTCTTGCGAGATTCAAATGCTATCATCAGATCAACCCAGGCAGCAGGCCGCTTGATTTTAAATTGTTCAATAAAATCTTCACCAAATATTTTGCACAGAAGTTTTTCAAATTCATAGTCCACACCTAAAGAGCCATATGGCCCTCCTGCATGAGAAATATAATATTGTTACTAGATAATATTATTTAAGAAATGACACAGCGAAAAATGAATGGGTATAGCAATATGCTTTTTCCCCCCTTTTTTTAAAGCAAGCTTCTAGAATCTTGACTGGATTTTATATGTCCAGGTATAGAAGAGAACCACTGAAATCAGGGAGACGGATAATCATGATTAATTCTAGTCCCATTAGATCTGCTTAAGCATGTTATGACTAAATGTAGATCAAAATCACTAAGGATCTATCACTTTTGATCTCATAGGCACATGGGGCCTTCAAAACCTTGGATGTTTCTCCCAGAATCCTATATAACTTGCTTTCAGTATTAGTTTTTAATTTAATATTAGCAAATAAAGCTATTAAATCCTTTCAACTAATTTGAAATGCAGGTTACAGGGAAGTAACTAAATTACTTCAAATGTGACTTTAATATTTTGTCTGTGGCTAAGAGGATAACTCCATGATACTCAGTGTAGAGATTGTATAATTTGTTCTTGAGGAATTTCAGACCTAGAATTATAACAGACTGTCAGAGAAAAAATAATTAAGACTTAAAAAAAACACTGGAAGCTTTATATGATTTTGCTAAGAGGACTGATGATTTATGAATTTGTGAATTAGAAAGGGTTAAAGAGGAAGGGGGAAAGAGTAAGATGGTAATTACTGGATAGAAAAAGCAAAAGTCAAAAAGCTATGCTTTCTTTTTTCACATTTTGTTTACACTTTTAATGTACTGTAAAATTCTGATAATGTTTTTTTAAAAAGATGCAACATTTGGATGTTGTAGAACCTTACTAATCTGTAGCAAATCATGTAAAGAGCTACAAATAGATCTTCTGCCCCTACTGCCCCAAAATAATAAATCATCTCCATACGTTTCCCAAATTACTAAAGAGAAGGAACACTGACAGTAAACCCAGAAATCTATTTTGCCTCAATCAGGAAAACTTCTTGAAAAGTAGTGATGGAAGGCAGCATCTTCTAAATGGGTCAAACTGAAAGGGAATTATAGCATTTATTATGCTAAACCCCCAAGTCAGTAGAAATTAAAATAATCACTTTGTTGTACTTCATATAAAAGAGATAGTGACATCAACATGGTCTCATGAGTGAGCAATAGAAATATGTCAACTCCTACTGGCGTTATCAAATCTTTGTATTTTATATGCTAACACTAAGGAGGATTAGTGGATTTATAAAGATTTTGCCTAGAAAATTCGAGCACGTTCTTGCTGTGATAAAAGGCTATCAAAGGCAATGGGAGTACTGCCGTGAATTTTCAATATCTTTCCCATATGATCAGGATGACAGGAATCAGCTGCGTTTGTTCTTTGCCATTAAAATGCTCATGGCCAAACATGCTATATTTGTATACTCAGTGTATAAGGGGACACAGCTCTAACTCTATGTATCCACCCATAATTGTGTCTAGAAATCTATGTGAGAGAGATCCTGGCACCATCAGATGGTCCATTCATGGAGGAGAATGAAGCATCTGTATAAAAGCCATGGATAGTAGGTTGTCCGTGGCTAGCCAAAATGATGATGATCCCACAACATAACTTAACATGTTCTTCGAATGTGTCATTTCTCAAGAAGTCCCCAAGTGAATAATATATGTATGCATGTAGCAGTTCCTATGTATGCTTTCTTCATTTAAAATGCCTATTAGAATAAACTGATATTCTGATCTCAGTAACCCAGAAAAACTCATAAGGAACCCGAGGGATAAAATTATACAGTAGAACCAATGCACTGTATGATTTCTTCTTCATTGCTTGAAGCAAAGAAAGTTGAGGCACATAATGCCAATTTTTGCTTTTTAAAAGATAAGTTCCTTTAGAACAGGCTACATGATTTCCAGCAAATCTTATAACAAGTTATTCTCTGAGTGAAAAAATTAAATGCTCTATAAACTGTAGGAGTGAGGAATACCACTTCACCTGTCGCCTTGTACAGTTCCTTCAGGTGTCCTTCTGGTAACCTAATCTGGTGCACAGTCACGTCAACTGTTCCTCCTCCCCCATCCACAACTATATAACGGTCGCCTGTTAATTCAAAGGGAATAAGAACAGTTGGGTTTTCTCCCCGAATGGGTATTTTGCATTTATTTTAAAAGGCACTTCATAAAAATCACAAGTGGTTTACAAAAAAAAAAAAAAATCATGTAACTGAAGCCTGTGCCAAAAGCTACAAATATATTTCACTGTGTGAGTTAATTTGCTACTGAGTAGGCAGTGATTTGAAAATGGAAAGCAAATTAGGAATGCAGCACATTTAGCCACTGATGCTTGAACAGAGTACTGAGTGAAAACTACAATGTCTTATTTATACTGTCATTTGCTTTAAATAATGTGTGAGTTAATAAAGATAAATAGGTTTATAGTGGTTCCTTCACCTCAAAGCATTGTGCTTTCATTATGCCTTTAAACAACCCTGCAATTGTTCATCTCGTTTGGACTATTGCAATGTACTTTACATGGGGCTGTCCTTGAAGAGTATCTGGAAGCTTCAGCTGGTACAGAATTAGGTCACACCACCAGCAGAACCATCTTCGTCCCATTACAATGGCCCATCCCACCCAATCAGGCAGGGAAGTAATGTTGGGGAGCCCATCAGTTAAAAATGCTTGAAGCATGATCTTGGTTCAAGGTTTTTGCCACAACCAGTGTAACAATCAATTAAGTGTGACTACAAAATATGAAACCTTTGGACCTGGACATTGACTAGAAGGAAGTTATAGACCTGTCAGTTAAAGAATTATGACTGGCAGGATCCAGGTAGAGAGCCTTGTCTGTCATTGTCCCTGCCCTTTGAAACATTCCCCCCCCCAACAGGTGAGGTGGGCCCCCACTTTCCTGGCCTTTTGGAAATGTCTGAAGACCTCGCTCTGCCAACTTGCTTGGGGCTTCCAAAGGAACAAGCAGCCATGGGCCTGGTTAGTCTCTTGAAGACCCTCCCTCCTCCCACCTTTTAAACTTTAAATTTAACTATTCTTGCTTCCTAATATAATATTTATGTTTTTATATTTTACTTGTACACCACTCACAATCCAGAGTCCCTCTGTGAGGGAGATGGGTAGTTTCTAAATTTATAATATATTTAAATATATAAAAATAAATTGTTCTTGAATGAGTCACACAATGGCAACTGAGTTCTATTGCTTCACTGTTATTATCCTTTTTGGGCAGCAGATGTCTTATTTAAAGAATTTACAGTTCGGTTCACAGCCCAAATCTTTTAAGCAATTCATAGACCAACAAAATTACGATTACTTTTAGATGGTGGTGAATTTTTTTTTAAATAATTAGGATACCGCTACCAAAAAAAAAATCCTCTTTCTGAAAGCCATATGAGTCAATTAATTTACATGGGGCATAAGAGTTTATTAAAAACATGCTGAATTCTGTATGTAAGCAGGCTAAAAGCCACTGAAAAATTAAAGCCCTGTATGATATGACTTGTATCAGCAAGACTTTGCTAACAATTTTGACTTCCATGGATCAGCTGACAATTTAGGACAATCTTTAAAAGCAGCACCCCGTATATAAATTACAAAGGCAGGGCATCTTTCAGAAGGATACATTCCAAATTCTAAAATCCTTTAGCCAACCTGTCTGGTGTTGACAACAGGTCCACACCTCTAGAGCAGACATGTCAAACACAAGGCCCGGGGGCCGGATGTGGCCCGCAAAGTGGTTTCATGTGGCCCGCGAAGCCATCCTGGAAACAGTGAGGGAACGGCCCCGCTGCCTTGGCTCTGGCCCAGGCCGTCTGCGAGCCAATGTACAATTTTGTGGTGGCCATCTATGCTGAAACACATTCAGTCTTAGCTCCACAAGGCCGTCTAGAAATAGCGAGGAACCAGCCCCTGCTGTGTCGGCCCACGCCCCCTGGGTGCATGCTGGGGAGGTGTCACCCTTTGTGAGGAATGAAGAAATGGACCATGCCTTGGCGCTTGCCCCGGTCCCACCCCCTTCTACCAGAGACCCTCAGATCTGTCCCACTCCTGCCCAGGCTCCCACAGGCACCCTTGACGCGAACGATGTAGAGCTGGCCATGCCCACCCAATAGGCCACACCCACTCCATCTACACCCACCCAGTAGGCCGCACCCACCCTGGCCACACCTACCCGGCCCCCCGAGGGCAACTGCAATGCTGATGCGGCCCTCAATGAAATTGAGTTTGACACCCCTGCTCTAGAGAATGCCCACATTATGGGAAGCAATGGATGGGTATGGAAGTAACTGCAGTAAGGAACAACAGAAGTTTTGTTCAGTAGCCTAGAATTTTTAAGACATGTATTTACAAATATGCCTTTATGTGGCCTTCAGCATTTATTAGTATCGAATAATCTTAAAGGCACCAAAGGGAACAAGACAAGCGTTTCACAGAGAACCCAATTCCGCTGGCAATGCAAAACCAGCAAGAGCAAAGGGAAAGGACACTACCTTCCTCCAGCTCGGACCAGATTTCTCCTATGACATTTTCAACCAAAAAGGTGCGGCTCTGTCGATTTCGTCGAATGTGTTCTTTTGCTAGTGGTGACACAGAGAGAAAATGGCTTGAGTATAAAAGAGCAAAAGCAAAGCTGTGTGCATATGGAGCAGAAAGCGGATGCAGGAAAGTGGGCTGGACATCATTTGGTTACGAATTACAACCCATACGTTGATAATCAAAACTCTAGTCCCAAAAAAGGTGTAGAGCTTGGTATAATTCTTTCAACAAATTGACTCAAAGTAGACTTCGATGGTAGTTGGAAAGCTTTTAATTCTATATAAACCAAACCCTTTCTTGTAAACTTGCCATAAGCATACCATAAAGATAAACAAAACAAATTCTGCTGAAAGTGGTTTTGCAATATTTTGTTATTAGTTAGGCTATTAATTTATAAATAACTATGAATAAGAGAATCTGTCAGACATTAGGGCAGATCATTTGCCTAGTCAATCCTAGCTAATCTATAGGAGAGAAATGCACAACATGGTGCCTACTCACACCAAACTGTCTTTAGGCACTCCCTTTTCACTCAATTAAGTCTCCCTTTCCCATCTTATTTCTTAAAAGATTATTTTAATTTGAAAAAACTCAAAGGAAACAGGAATGCTGGAAAACAGAAGACGACCATCTTATTCTTATCTCCAGCAATGGCCACAGGTCCACAAAACAAACAGGATATCCTGCTGGAAAAATTGCCTTCTGCTCAACGGGCATTTTGTGATTGCTGAATCCTAAGCCCAACAATAGCATCATCATCACCATCATCATCAATTTATATGCCACCTGACTCCCATCAATTCCCAACATAACAAAATAAAAAAGAAACTATTATCATTGTCCTTGGAGTTTTAGTTGTTGTTTTCTCCCTCCCCCCCCCCTTACAGCTAGGATGAAGGGAAAGGCCCTAGGCCAGGGGTAGGCAACCTTGGCTCTTTTATGACTTGTGGACTTCAACTCCCAGCTGGCTCAGGAATTCTGGGAGCTGAAGTCCACAAGTCATAAAAGAGCCAAGGTTGCCTACCCCTGCCCTAGGCAGTCAGAATAAGTTGAATCAAGAGATTCACTGGGAATTCCTGGCAGGAGGGTTCTCTCAGGTTGAAATTATAACCTCTTCCAGTTTGCAGTGGTCCAGATTATCTAATCTGAAATGCATTTATGTTTTCCTTTGTTCACAAAAATCAGCATGGTTGGTTAAAGAATGGGGAAAAGCAAGGGTTTTTTTTTTCTTTTATTCTCCAGTTTTGGAAAACAATTTCACATATTATCTTTTTTGCCATAATTAGGCATATCCTTGGGCCCTGGAGCCAGGATGATTAAAGTTCCTGTCTGGAGTTCATAGTTTCCAAATAAAGAAATAAAGAAAAACAGTAAATTTGGGTCACTGTTCATTATTGTTTACTAAATTTTAATTAAAATGTTTATTTTCATTTGATATCTATTCCTAAATTTGTTCTATGCTTCTCAAAGCTGCAATGTTTGAGCTGCACAGCCATATACATTTCTTAAAACATATACTTAAGTTAAATCAGTAAATAATACCCATTAGCAGTTTATTGTTCTCTAAAACTGCAAACACTTCAGTTTGATTACAGTGGTATAAATGAATCTTTAACACACCTCCACGTATGTTTGCATGTAAATTTCATAATCCCAGGAGAAAGCTAATAAGCAAGAGAATGTTTTATTTGTGGCACCTCATTCTTGGTTTCCCCCACTATCAAACTAAGACCAACTTACAGAGAGAAAATTTGTCTAAATATTTCCGTAAGAAAAAGTGTGGAATGTGCAGGAATTAGATGCATCATCCAATCAAAGTCTGATTAAAAGGGCGGTACCTGGCGTGAAGCCTGAGGCAATAGTTTCACTTGGAGTGTAGCCATTGACGGGCGCTCTGCTGCTTAGGTCTATCATCTGATGAAGGCGGAGTTTCCTGCAATAAATTGATGCAGCTTCTGGTTCCAAGGCAATTATCAGTTGTTCAGGAATCTCCGGGGATGCCATGCCTGCCTGTGAGAAATGAGATGGAATTGTAAAAAGATCGTTTTATTTATTTTTACGTACATACCGTGCTCAAAAGTACAGGTAATTCTCGACTTACAACAGTTTCTTTAGTGACCTTTTGAAGTTACAACAGCACTGAAAAAAAGTGACTTACGACCGTTTTTCACACTGCAGCATCCCCATGGTCATGTGATCAAAATTCAGATGCTTGACTCATATTTATGACAGTCATGCAACTAGGGTCATGCAACCCCCTTTTGTGACTTTCTGGAAAAGCAAAGTCAATAGGGAAGTCAGATTCACTTAACAACCATGTTACTAACTTAACAACTGCATTGATTCACTTAACTGTGGCATGAAAGATTGTAAAACAGGTCAATATTTATTAATTAACAACTGTCTCACTTAGCAATAGAAATTTTGGGCTCAATTGTGGGTGTAAATCGACAATACCTTTAATCCTAATCCTGACTTTTCTTTTTTCTTTTCCTCCCATCTCTATTACATATTAATTTTTTGACTGAATATTGAAATATACAGTTTTGTTTTACTGGAGATAGAAATCTATACAAGCAAGGCCTCTAAGGAAAAGGTGGAAGAGTCAGGATCAGAAAAAGGAAAGGAGCCAAGGTTGTCGTGCAGGAATACAAGCTAATTTGAGGGCGAATCCACATGGAGCTCTGTTTCCATCTGTCCTGTTTGCTCCCTAGAGCAGTGGTGGTGAACCTATGGCACGGGTGCCAGAGGCGGCACTCAGAGCCCTCTCTGTGGGCATGCACGCCGTCACCCCAGTCCTAGGCCTTCAGCTGGGTTTTATAAAACCTTTTCGCTTTAGGTCTCCACCGCCATGTGCAAAAAAAAAAAAAAGGGTTCAATCAATCAATCAATTTTAACTTCTTGCGGGGAAAAAAAAGATCTCGCAAAGTTGGAATTAATTGATTGAACTTTTTAGTCCCACCCAGTCTGCTGTTACCACCGCAGCCACGCCCACCCAATGGGCCACACCCACCCGGCACCCGACGATGCATAAGTGGGTTTTGGGTGGCAATTTGGGCACTCGGTCTCTAAAACGTTCGCCATCACTGCCCTAGAGACTAAAATTGACATTCTGAAACTTGAGCTGGCCACAAACAAGGAGTGTATATCGGAGGTGGTGACCCTTTGAGAGCTGTATGCAACGAAATTTCATTTTGATGTATGCCAATTGGTGTACATTCAAAGTGACAATAAAGTTGTTGTTGTATACTTTGCTTACTGAATATAGTGTCAGAGGTCCTTAGAATGTATCAAGAAATATTTTAAACCAGGTGAGGCAAAAAAGAGCAAGGTTACTCTAATTGTTTTCTGCAATTTAAGCCTAACAGTTGGATAAATTATCTATTTGTTAGGCTTTTCAAATTAAGTTGCACTGGTTGCAAAACAACCAATGTAACCTTATTCTTTTTTGCCTCATCTGGATCAGCTCTTACACTCTGGGAGAGCATCTAATATTCATTTATTAATTATAGTTATAACTGACTTTCCATTAAAACTGCCAAGATGTTGTACAAATGTTTAAAATATATCTGATCTCATACCGATCAATCAATAAAATGAAAAGATTTATTTGAACTACTAAGACTATTTATGCAAGGTCTGAAAAGACCGCATGAATCAATACTCTTAATCTGAGACAGTGACTTTAATTCATTAGAATATAATCTTAAAAGTTGCATTTTTCTGTCTTCCCCACATTAACTTGGCCCATTAACTTCAATGGGCACAAAACAATTGTGAGAGTAACGAGATGAGGTTGAGAAAATAATATATGGGAGTATCAAAAATTCTGGGCCTTTGACAGATTGGAAAAGCCTATGCATTCAAGCCAAAATTAAAATATTTTTATTTGAGCCATGACAACTTTTTTTTTAAAAAAAATGTTTCATAGCATGAGGCAATAGCTTTTGGATATTGGGGCTAAATATGCTTACCAGTATTAAAACAGTGTTTTAGTTTTTAAGAAGCTATCAGAAAATATTGATCATGCCAAAAGAAACACCTTTTTTTTCACTTGTTCGTAATCTAGCAGCATTGACTACTATTTGGTCTACTCCATTTTCAGGGGTCTGAAGCTCAATCCCAGGAGTGAAAAAAAAAACTATTTTAACCTACAATAAGCAAGGCTGATCAAGGAGAGTGGAAGACTATATATTTCAAAAGGTTTAGTTTTTAAATGAGTACAAAACCTACTGCTTCCTCAGTTCATGTGGGAGTCAACAGTGAGAAACAGACGCAGACATTTTGAAGGGACACAAGTTCCTGGCACTGTTTTTAAACCAGGATACAATAGATGGATCACAACAATATATCTCATGTATTTACTAACATAACATCAATTTCTGCAAACTGCTTTTGAGTGGCATGGATGCAATAGAGCAGAGTATAAATGTCTATGAAGATTCTCAGTCATCCAGGTCATGGTTATCCCAGTGTCCCAAAGCCTTTATCAATATTTACATTTTGACTCTCACCTTCCATTGGAGTACAAAATGGGAGTTATCAGAAGCCTACAGCACTGAGCTGATGGCCTGCCTACTGGCAAAGATGGGAAACAAGAAGAACTAAAACACGTCAAGGAAGCCCTCAGAATGTGTGGCTATTCCAACTGGGCCTTCATCAAATTCCAAAAAAGACCCAGCAGGAGCTCCTCCATAACAGAACAGAACAATAAACAAAGCAAGGCTGTCATTCCACACATTGCAGGAATATCTGAAAAGCTCAGGAAGATCTTCAGCCAACACAACATACGTACACACTTTAAACCCAAGAATACAATAAGGCAGAAGCTTGTCCACCCCAGATAAAACACCCAGACACAAACTAAGCAACACGGTATATGCAGTACAATGCAGTAAGACATGTGCAGATCTGTACATTGGGGAAACAAAACAACCACTTCATAAATGCATGGCACAACATAGGAAAACAAACCCATCAGGACAAGATTCAGGGATACAATATCATCTATCTCCAGTCTACAACACATCCTTTTAGAAGTTCCAAGAAGGCTCCACAACCATTTGCACAATTCAGATGATTTTCCTTGAGGGCACAGATAAACCTCCAAGTGGCCTCAACGGTTCCCTAAAAGAATGCAAATGACCAGCTATCTGCAAGGAATATAAATCCTTCCATTCCCCACCATCCAGTAAGAGCTGAAGAAGCTTCTTGGATGAGAAGTAAAACATCTTCAAAACAAGAAAGTCCAATTGCCTCTTGAAAAAGCATCTTTAGAGCAGAGTATAATTTTTAATTTAAAAAACGTCCTGTTTTAATGATCTGCATGGCATATATGTTGGACTGACAAGATATTTTATAAAGTATGAAACAATGTCTTCTAATTGGCATTTTAAAAAAATTGAAGGCTAGGGTTAAGTTTCTTTTTATTAAGTAGTGCACTAGAGCCCTATTTTGGGGGGGAAGAATAGTACTCCAATCCCCAACATAGTTAGGTATCTCTAAAATATAATAACTTCTCAAAAAATTTAAAAAAAATGAATTCAACACTATTTGCTTACAGATGTTCATTACCCAACTAAGTAATACAATGTGTGTGTGTATACATACACAAACATTCTACTTCTAAGTCATTACTAAAATTACAGACTCTAACTGTATAGCCTAATTTAGAAACCTCTTATCCGTAACTTTTTAACCAAAACCCTTGTCCACTGTCAATTATCCTTCTGCTAGTTCAAAGCAGCACTCTGAAATTGTCCATTCAGAAGTTTTAAAATGTCTTAAAATTGGCACGTGGCTGATTCATTTTCCTTTGATGGATTAAGCCAGAGTTTTCAAACATTTTCAGTCCACAGAATCTAGTATCCTGTCTTTTTAATTGAAGAATCATCACTGATCGATAAAATGATTCCTTGATTAATTGAAAGTTAATTAACCACTTTATCTAGCTGAATTGAGTAACAACGTGCGCTTTCGTTCATGCCTACAGAGAAGTGGAATTCAATGAAAACTACTTCCAGTTATGTGTGGCCAGAATTCAAAGAACTGAATTATAGCATATATAAATATGCACATGAATTTCTGGTATATGCACACTATCTATGTTACAAATAATATGGCATAAAAGAATCCAAACACAACATGATTTGTCAATATTCTGGAGCATTCAAACAGAAATGAAATAGATTAAGTATGCTATTTTAGTAGAATATGCATCTACTTCTTCGGTTGATCCCTTGGGTTTTTTGCAATTTTCTATGTTAGGATATAAAATGAGGTGTGTGGACCAGTTTATAGTACCAAAAAAGAGAACTTATTTTGTCCCAGAGACATATTCCAAGTGTATATCCCAGGGATAGGCAACCTTGGCTCTCTTATGACTCGTGGACTTCAACTCCAATTCTGGAAGTTGAAGTCCACGAGTCATAAAAGAGCCAAGGTTGCCTACCCCTGGTATATCCTAACCAACCTCTAATGGACACTGAAACTGGTTTCAGAAGCAAAATTGTTTTAGAGATAGAAAGCACTGGTTTCATTACATAAAAAATTAATCCAACCCCACCATTACAGGAAATACAGGCAGTCCTTGACTTGCTACCTCCATTGAGCCCAAAATTTCTGTCGCTAAGTGAGATAGTTCTTAAGTGAGTTTTGTCCCATTTTTACGACCTTTATTGCCACAGTTAAGTGAATTACTGCAGTTGTTAGTTAACAGGATTAAGTGAATCTGGATTCCCCATTGACTTTGCTTGTCAGAAGGTTGCAAAAGGGAAAATATATGAGCCCAGGGCCACTGCAACCGTCATAAATAGGAGTCAATTGCCAAGCATCTGAATTTTGATCACGTGACTATGGGGATGCTGCAGCAGTTGTTAAGTCTGAAAAATGATCACAAGTCAGTTTTCAATGCTGTTGTAACCTCCTAACGGTCACTAAATGAACTGTTGTTGAGGACTACCTGTAGTGGGAAATCATTTCTTGAATATACATTTGCCAAAACAAATGGGTATTACAATTATTTTCTATTTTAATAAATTATACGTTGGTAAGGGGTCCCCAACCCCTGGCCCACTACCGGGTCATGGTCTATACAAAACCGGGCTGCACAAGAGCAGGCTGGCATGAATGTACAGCTTGACTTGTAGCTGAGTTGTGTGCACATGTGCATGTGCACCGGCCTGCCACTCGCGTGGCCCGATTCCCCTCTCTCCCTCCCCCAGCTGGATCATCAAGCCACAAAAGTTAGAGACTGCTGGTCTAAACCACCTATCGTTGTTTCTTAAAATCTAAGATAGGAATTTAACTTCACAGGTAATTCAGTTATGGTAGTTGCATTGGTTTCACTAACTGCATGTTTATTATTTAGGATGCTTTAATAAAGGGGGAGGGGTGAACATTCTGCTCTATGAAGCAGGTCAGAAGGAGCTAACTTTTGCTTTTCTTGCACACCAGCCTCTCAGCTGATGCACATCCCTGTTTGTCAACAAATAGCACACGTTTCCTGACTAATTCAGCTGGATAACCTATTTAACTCCAGCAGTACTACTTTGTGCTCTAAAATATTTCTAGTTATTTAGAAGTAGCAGTGAAGGATTCATTCAAAGTACCTAACCTATTAGTTTGTTGTTATGTTGCACAGCAAACGCAGGGGGAACAGATTCTATTAATCGTATTTGTGCAATCCAAGTCCTGCAATTAGGTCTAAATTGGAAATTGTTAACATACATTTCTTGCTTTGAGCATTTTAATACAATGATCAATTAGCTTCCTTAATTAATTATAGCTTCAAAATGATGCAACCTTATCCTACTTCACAGGCTCCATAACAAACATTAATATTAATGTAACAAAGGGGATTAATTAGTGTATCACCAGAAGAATCATATCCACAACATTTTGCGATGATAACAACAAACCACTGACAACCATCTGTTTCCACTAACAAAGGGTATTCACATGAATTTTCCCATTCCCCTTAATATTTCAAATGTGATGCATTTCTTTAGATATTCTGCAGACAGAAAGTGAATCTCTGTTCAACCAAGATATAAAGCTTTAAATCGCTACTTGCCATGATTTTTTTAAAAAAATGCTATCCTTCTTATATACACTAATATTTAGTTATGAGTCAGTAAGAACCACAATATCCTCCAGAGAACTGAAGAATTCCACAACTGAAATCTTAAAATTGACAAGTTTGAAAAACACTGTTCACTTTGCAGCAGCAGTCAAAAAAGCTAATGCAATCATTGGTTGTATAACCAGAGGCATAGACTCAAAATCACATGAAGTATTGGTACCGCTTTATAAAACCTTAGTAAGATCACACCTGGAATAATGCATCCAGGTTCGGTCACCACATTACAAAAAAAGATGTTGAAATTTTGGAAAAAGTGGAGAGAAGAGCAACTAGGATGATTAAAAACCTGGAAACTAAAACATATGAAGAATGGTTGCAAGAACTGGGTATGGCTAGAGAAAAGGACTAGGAGTGACATGATAGCAGTATTCCAGTATTTGAGGGCTGCCACAAAGAAGAGGGGGTCAACTTATGGGTGGAAACTAATCAAGGAGAAAAGCAACCTGGAACTGAGAAACTTCCTAACAGTGAGAACAATTAACCAGTGGAATGGCCTCCCTTCAGAAATTGTGGGTGCTTCATCATGGAAGGACAGAGAGACTAGACAGCCACTTGTCTGAAATGGTATAGGGGTTTCCTGCTTGAACAGGGGTTTGGACTAGAAGACCTCCAAGGCCCCTTCCAGCTCTATTCTGATTGATTTATTGATTGAAAGTTGACACACTGGGAACAATCCAAAATTAGCAAGTAATTTGGAACTAAGGAAGATTTGAATTTAGGCCAAAACTTTAAACTACCTCAACAAACTTGAGCGTGGTAACCATTTTTCTAATTTTTTCCCAAAAATAACATAACACTGCAGTTGAGATTAAGGGATCAATCCCTTAATCTCAACTGCAAAGCTGGCTGAGGAATTCTGGGAGTTGAAGTCCACAAGTCTTAAAATTGCCAAGGTTGGAGACTCCTGATCTAAGGGATACCCATTTTTTTTATGTACAAGGCACATAAAAGATGGAGAGCGCCTGTATTGTCACAGGCACCATCTTCATTTTTTTGGCCATAGCCTGCAGACGTCTTTGGTTTCAACTACAGATATTTCCACTTTGTCACATTCCCTGCCTGCCATTATTTTCTTCATTTTTGTAACACGTTTCTCCTGTACGTGTATTGATCTGATTATTGATTAGTTAATATGTTCACAAACTCAACAACATCCCACTGCTATACATGAGAATTGTTAGTAGAACATGAATACTTTGTATTTTTTATGGTTACAGATGCATACCAACATAAGGCCAGAGACAAGACAGATTAACATTAGACTCTAATGTTTGAGCTTTACCTACATTTGTGTCCTTCTCAAAAATCTTAAAATAATTTAGATACATTACCATTAGTAATCTTTTTAAGATAGATTGTTGGAAAAAATGTTGCTCAACATTGGTGATGGGTACAATTATTCAAAGTTATCAGAATACATTAGGGGTTAATCAAAATACCCATAGCACCTTTGGGAAACATATGCTGCCAAGTCACTGACAATAGGATTGTATACATCATGCTAGCTCTCAAAATTAAACAGATGATATTCTACAGATGCATCTAAATGTCTAAAAAGGAAATGAGTCTAAAAAGGGAATGAATCTCAAAGCAATGGACAATGATGTAATAAGGCGATCTTCATCAATCATATAAACAAAACAAAACTTGGACCCAATGCCAAAAGTTTCTAAATTTATCAAATATTAGGAAGAAGATGAGTATTTCTCAAAGAGACACATGGGCTGCTAAAAAAGACAAAGGAACTTCTTCAATTCTGTCTTTATTATTTATAAGTACCTTCTCGATTTATAACCATAACTACAATTTCAGTTGTTAAGTCATGATGGTCATAAAATAGAATATTCTTTATTGGGTCACCATATGACCAGATCCGATTTTACAATCTGATTTTTTGTGGTGATCATTAAGTAAATGCGACAGTCATAAAGTAAGCCTTCTGTTTGCCGTTTGCTGGATTTTATCGGAAACTGGACGTAAACAATCAGGTCCTGGCAAAACCATGGTAAATCATGTTCGTAGGATCATAAGGTTCTACAAATGGTGATAAATGCAGGCTGGTTGCCAAGCACCCAAAATGCGGTCACGTGACAATGGGGATGGTGGTTTGGATGTCACAATTTTGAAATCAGGTTGTAAGTCCCATTTTGGGGGGTCTGTCAGAACTTTGAATGATTGCTAAGCAACTGGTCTTAAGTCGAGGACTACTTGTATTGCCCTGGGGTTTTTTTTTGTTGTTTTTTTTAAATATAGACCATGTGGGTAATGAGACTACAGAACACCTTTGAAGCAAATGATATTGCAGGGTTAGTAACTAATTAGCTATCATAAAAATATGAAACAGGGAACTTCTAAAGTTGCAAATTTGATGGATTGCTAATGTTCATCTGATGTCAACCATCCTAGCTAGACATGAAATAGCTCCACAGGTTTTCTAAGCTACTTTATTGACTATAACAGAAAGTTGCAAATATGATTGTGCTATACCTTCTCCTTGTTATAGTTCAATGAATTAGGGAAGTCTCTGAGATACTTCAAAATGTTATCTGAATGTTTCAGAATTTAAAAACGCTTTAGCCCCTCTTGCCTAGGCATTACACCTGCATGTCTCCATCAAACTCATCTTTGTTACTCTCTATACCTGCAATGTTCACCTTACCTTGTAGGCAGCTTGCCTCATAAACTGCTTTGCAGGCTGCTTCCAGATAGCAGGCACTGTGATGACCCATCGCACATCAGAATTTTCAAATTCTGACCCAGCTTGATCACTCAGTTCCTAAAATAATCGGAAGAAATGCACTGGTGAGATATAAAATTAGAACCATCTGTTTCCAAAATCAGTAACACTTTTTAGTGGTTCCTGTGAAAATAATTTTCTTGCCTCTTGCACTGTCTGTCTGTCTGTCAATATCAGTCAACCTGATTGAAACAGAACACTGCCTAGATAGCTAAATCAGGGTTTCAGTTTCATCCTATCAAGGAAAATATAGCTCAGGAAGGACAAGTACGGTATTTTTCCAAAATGAAGGTCCAAATTGAACAAACATAATAATGCATTTTTGTTGGGGTCTGGTCCAAATGTCTTTTCCTAAAATTAATCAGGTTTAGTGGCACTTGTAAACATATAGCCATTCTATTATCATTTCTTTATTTAAAAGGGCTGTTTTATTTAAAGAAGCATTCTAATTAAATCACTTTTTTCATTTTAAAACTTAAGAGTTAACTGCAAATTCTTTCCCTGTGTTGGCATTTACTGCTTGTTTTTTTTAAATAAAATCAGAAGTGTCTGCTCTTAATATATAAGGGAGACTAGCTCAAGTGTTTTCTTTAGGCATCTGTGTCCAATTGGTTTCTGGTGGTATTTATGATGAGGAATTCCATCACGGGCAACAATTTTGTGTATCCTTTTTGTTTTCTTCGTTTAGCCAGAAGAAGAATGAAAAGGTGTAATGTTATTTCCTTAAGAGGAAAAAATATGTGGTAAACCAACATTACAACAAAAAGATTTAAAATTTGTGGCTGAAAAGGGAAGGTCTCCCTACCAAAGTTTTTTTTTTTTTTTAATTGCCTGAAAAATAATGCTAAATCTTTTTTTTTTTTTTGCTTAAACCTTGTGTCTCCTCAAGATGTGACTCAGCATGTTACTGTAAGGATTCTCCAATTTCCTTTGATGTGCGCCTTTGTTCCTTACTTTATAGCTTTTTCAAGAAGTCAGCTTTCCCCTAATGCCATACTGCAATGTTTCTTGAAGAAGCTGATTGTTTTAAAATAAATTTCAGTTTGGGTTCAGGCCTTGATATGAGACAGAGGAAATGGTCACCTTGGATCATTTAACCCAGGAATTGGGGTGGGTGGGTATTGTTAAACTCAAGTGGCAGCATCTAACCAGCCTGAGCTGATACCAGACCTTCCTTCTTGTAATCTGGACAGGAAATAATTAATTCCAGAAACAAAGACCTCAGAGCCTGATTAACAGTATTTACTGGAAGGAAGAAGGAATGTTAAGATTACAACATATAAATTCCAGCAAGAACTCTACTTCTGTGTGAGAATCCTTTATATAGGCAATCTAAGAATTATTCTCCATTTTCTCTTTTTTTTTTTAATGCAGGGAGATGGGACCTGGAATTAAGGAGAAACTTCCTAACAGTAAGAACAATTAATCAGTGGAATAGCTTGCCTTCAGAAGTTGTGGATGCTTCATCCCTGGAGATTTTTAAGAAGAGACTGGACAGCCACCTGTCTGAAATGGAATAGGGTTTCCTGCTTGAGCAGGGGGTTGGACTACAAGACCTCCAAGGTCCCTTCCAGCTCTATTCTGATTGATTGACTCAGCTCTTCTATGAAGCTGGTGTAGTCTCCTCACTGTTTATTGCAATTGTTTTGGTAACTGTTCTTCCTATTATTATTATGAGAAATAACTCTCAAGGCTAACTTAAAAAAATATTATGCAAGGCTGATATGATTAATATTTGGGATGGGAGATTAGACACTTTCAAAGCTATAAGGCTAGACAGGAAAGAAACCTGCTTCTAATAATCTCATATAAATGAGACCTGGAGGGCATTGGCCATATTCAATCCAATCAGAAAAGGAAATGACTATAGAAGGAGGCAGCTCCTCAGATAACCCAGTCCAGATCTATTTAGGGCTCTAATAGCCCCTTGAATCAAACCTGGAAGCCAAACAACAGCCAGCGTTGCTCTCAACATAGGGAGGCCAATGAGCAATACCCAACATCATCCACACCATGTTTTGCAACTTCTGAATGTTTTCCAAGGGGAATTCCACGTAGAACACTTTACAGCACGGGGTGTCAAACTCGATTGCATCACATGATGTATCGTGATATATCGCGATGTTTTTTGCACCAGAGCTGGGGTGGGCATGGCCTGCGCGTGACACATCTGGCCCGCAAGCCACCAGTTTGACACCCCTGCTTTGCAGTAACCCAAATGGGAAGGGACTGAGGCATAAATGAACGATTGCCAGCACATTCTATTTTATGTCCCATTCCTACTGCCAGCAGCATGTGAAAGTCTTCTCTATGGTTACTACTATTCTTCCAGTGGCTGGCAATGGCCATATTTATCTAGACAGGTTAGCTTTGAAACTAATTTGCTGCAGTTGATATTAATCTGCTAAGAGCTCCTTATTTATTTATTTATATTGTGTAGTTTTATAATTAAATTATTGATTTCTATTTTATCTGCATTGCTGAACATTTACATCCCAGTTTTTATGGAAGTAAATTCGTGTAAATATAATCAATTTTAAACAAAAACCTCTCCAAACCTCAATAAATATTGTGAGAAAGTAAGGAGTTAGAAACAGTCATAAGCAAAACCATCATTCAAAGTCAAAGCAATTGCTTTCTTACTGAGATTGTATCTGCCACTCTTATTTCTTAGAAAGCCACTGGGGAGAATCATGTCTTTGATCATGACTAGGTATGCAAGACAGATGGATTTAATTTTTTGCCTACAATAACATTTCCCATAGAAACTCTTCTTATGTTTCTTTGGCTCTGAGTGCTATTTTGCACCAAGAATTATTTTTCTTCCACGATCCTGAATCAGGACTAGGAACAGGAAAGGGGGAAAGAATTTATTGTCAAAAAGAAGAAAGGTTTGCAAGCCAATGCACTAATATGTGTGTGTGTGTGTTTGTGTGTGTGTGTTTCAATGACTTCCAAAGAATGTGCAATTTGAGAACACTTCACTGAGAATACTTCCAGAAAAGTGCACAGTTGAAGTGTGATTTCAATTTGTTCTCTTGTACTTTGTCCGTAGAATTTGTACTTAAAGTATGAGAAGAGAACTCCAACAGAACTGGAATTGAACAGAAAAAGGATGACTAGCCTAATGGGAGTGGCTTGACATGGAGATGGGTTTTGTGGCTCCCCACAGATTAGAGATGCACATAGCCTTGGTTCAGAACAAGCAACCACTAGGAACAGACAATCTCGCTCTCTATAGGACTTTGAGCCAATAAATTCCAGATCTTGTCATGACCCATGACAAGAATCTATGGGAATGGTAGCCCAATTGCATTATAAACTTTGCAATGATAGATCAACTCCGGGACCTATCTCTGTTTACCAAATTACAGAATCTAGAGAAATCCCTTTCTGAATGCCCCACAATCAAAAATCAGATCCTTGGGTGGCCCAAGAATCATCCAATGATCTTTACTCAACTTTGCTTTCTGTCCAAACATATATTTTTAAAAGCAAAATTATTTGTTGCCAAGAATTTGCTGAATATGCTGAAGCAGCACCTAATTGTTGCCACTGTATACTGTGGAAGGAGGATGTTATCAATGTATGCAAAAGGATGGAATCTTCTGGAATGTCTTCTTAGTGAGGAAGGAAGGAGTTAAGTAGTTTAGATGTTTTAACGTCAGTGTTTCTGCATTTCCTACAGCTGCTCCACTTTGTTTATATCAAGAAAAACTGCTGCAGGCTGGAATTTGGCAAGGTTAAAATGGTTGAACAGCATTTGTGACAGCTACAAATATAAAGAGCTGGAAATAGATGTTGAGGGGTTTTTACCTTTAATGCTTGTTCCTTAAAGTACTGTAGAGCATATGCGAATATTTCAAGGGCCTTGACTTTCTTGCCATTTGCTGCTGACAAGTCAGTTTCTAGAGTAAGGTTCTGAGGAAGAAATAGTAAATATTAAACCATGCTTTTTGACTTGAGGGAAGAATACCACATTGAACTTCGCTCATTATACCTTCTGCCTAATACTCACAATTCTTACTGTTTTCAGGTTGTATCACTTTATTTTTATTATTTTCCCCTTAGTTGTGATTTGCAAGTTTAATGTGATGCTGCCTTGATGCAGATGTGTCCTGTGATTTACCGGCAGAGCTGAGATTAAGTAGAACCATTGTATATGGTAGACTGACTGGACACAGTGTTGTGCATTAATTGTTTTGGGTTTTTTTAAAAAATCTTATTGATGCATGTTTTATTCAGGCAATTATTTGGGGAATGTGGAGAGTAGCTGCATGTTAATATTTAAAATGTTAAAGGAGAGGTATATATATATATATTTAAATGTTTTTTTTTACTATCTCCCCTCCTTCCGCCGCGCCCTCCTTCCGCCGCGCCCTCCTTCCGCCGCGCCCTCCCCTCCTTCCGCCGCGCCCTCCTTCCGCCGCGCCCTCCCTCCGCCGCCCTACTATCTCCCCTCCTTCCGCCGCGCCCTCAAGACATGGCTGTTTCAGCTGGCAGGACTGGCCTAGGGATATTTTAAATTGGATTTTAATCAACTTTTAAAATAAGAAAAAGGCCTATTTAAATATATCTTTTAATTTATTTTAAATTTTGTATATTTGTACCAATTGTTCTGTTTTTTAACTGGCTGTAAGCCGCCCTGAGT